ATATGGGAAAATTCTTCTTCTACCAGTCCTTCCTTACCTTAAACGAAATTTCGTGATTACATCTTATAATACTGATTTACTGGTAGTCACGAAAACAATACTTAATTCGAAAAATGAAGAATTAGAATAGCTTTCAGCAAGTATAGCTATTTGGGATACAGTTGGAGCGTGAGGGCTACACATGCCATTGCGGAAAATTCATTTATCTCTCCTCCATCACCTCATGTGTCCCAGTAGGACTGGAAATCCTATTTAAGATTTACACATACTTTATATCAATATTACCTAAACGAATTGTATTGTCTGGATTTCAGCCTGGAAGATAAGCCAAGCGGTGACGATACCTTAGTTTAAAGATTCTGGTTTAAATGAATCTATAAAATTGGAGAAAATTGTAAGATTGTTTATTTGACAGCAGAATTTCTTGCTCCTTTAATGCTTTGGCTCTCCCTTTGTGAACGCAATTTGCAGGCATGTGTGAGGAGTCCGTTTCATCAAATGCATATAACCACAATGGGCCTAGTCAAAACAAGTAGAACGACAAAATTTGTTGCATGACACACAAGAGACTAGGGCATAGGAACTAATCGACTTGGCATTAAAGATAGAAATATGAAATAAATCCACTCTATTTCATTTAAGGTGATGAAGGATTGGTAGAAGAATTTTCCCACAATGATATGAGTAGAGCTGACGTTTCCATTGAATTTCACATAGCCTTGCTACCAAAAGTTGTTCTCATCCTCGACATCGCATCAATCTTATCAACAACTCCAGCGGGAGTCGAACCGTGACGCTGCAGAATGGGAGCTTGACACGCTAACCACTCGACCACATTGCCATGAGTGCCGTTGGGTCGAAACTTTAATTAAATAACGTAGTCGAATGTTATAGCAAATATAGGTTTGCCTCATCAACACTCCCACCAAATAATATGATATGGCAAAAGGCATGGCCTTCCTTGAAATTCACATCTGCCCTGTGACCCAACAGCACTCGTGACAATGCGGCCGAGTGGTTAATGCGCCAAGCTCACATTCTGCACTGTCATGGTTCGACTCCCGCTGGAGTTGTTGATAAGACCAATATGAGGTCGAGGATGAGAACAACTTTTGGGAAAGAAAAGCTATGTGAAATTAAATGGAAACGTCAGCTCTAC